AAATATTAATGAGTTAAAAGAAAATGTAGAAGAATATGATAAATAAAATAAATATTTTATTACAAGTAAAATAAATATTTATTATTTTTGATGAACATTCTAGATTAAATTTCTTAATGTTTCTTCCCCAAAATAGATCATCGATAACTGGAAGCATCATAAAACAAAAGTGGCTTCATACTGGCTCATAAAATTGGACTCTGTAAAACAACGAAAAGTGAGTAATGCTCAAAAAGAGTTTCGCCCTAACAGATTATGTATTAAGCTAGTATCATTAAGCAAAATTCATACTCAAACCTTTTACATGCTCCTTTGTTTACCTAGCTCTTCAACAAATATTTATAAAGTACCTCCTGTGTGTCAGGCACTGTTCTAGGTTCTGAGGGTAAAAAAAGTGAATTTAAAAAATCCATGTTTTCATAGAGTTTACATTCTAGTTAAGATGTTTGATAACAAATGTGGAATGTAAGGTGGTACAGACAGCTCTCTGTATCTGTGGGTTATGCATCCATGGATTCATCCAACCAGGTATTAAATATGTTTGGGGGATAAAAAAGGATGTACAGGCTTCTTTTTCATCATTATTTCCTAAACATTACAATGTAACACCTATTTACATAGCATTTACACTGTATTAAGCATTATAATTAATCTAAAGATGAATTAAAGTATATGGCAGGATGTGCATAAGTTATATACAAATACTATACCACTTTATATCAGGGACTTGAATTTGGGTATACGTGGGGGCATCCCCAAACCAATCCTCACAGACAATGTGGGATGACTGTATAAAGTACTATGAAGAAAAATAAAGCAGGATAACAAAAATAGAGAGGAGGTAACATTTGAACAAGGACTTAAATGAGAATCAGGCAGAGGGAAGAGCAAATATAAAGATCCTGAGGTTGGAATTAGCTTGATGTACATCTGAGGCATAGTAAGGCACCATTTTATTTACTTATTTATAGTTTGTGTTTTCTGGAAAAGTGTGAGTGATGTGGTAGTGGTAAGAGATGAGGTTGGACAGATAGGCAGGGCTCAGATCACAACTTTATAGATGAAAAAATATTGGATTTTATTCCAATTGGTGGGAAACTATTGGAAAAATTTGAGTAGAAGAGTTACACAGTCTGGTTTATGACTTAAAAGGATCATGAGAACGACTTGGAGAATAGAACTGGGGGAGAAGGAACGTGGCAGAACAGGAGTAGAGACCAGCTAGAAGATTTTCAGGGTAAGAAAGGCAAAAGCTGTACTTAGCCAGGGTGTTAACTGAATGGGCAGATGCTGGAGAAAGAGCAGGAGCAGGGTTTTGTTGTTGCTGTTGTTTTGTTTTATTTTGACTTTGGACATGCTAGTGTTGACAAATTCATTGGACATCCAAATGAAGATGTTGAGTGTATAGTTGTATATATGAGTTTTGAATTCTGAGCTGAGGTTGTGTATGGTGATAAAAAATTGAGACATCTCTAGGATATTTAAAGCCTTGAGACTAGATGAGATTACCTCGAGTTTCAAAACTGAGCCCTGGGCCACTCCTACATACAAAAATCAGAGAGATGGAGAGGATGCATCAAAGGGGCCTGAGCAGGAACAGCCAGTGAGTTGTCAAGAAACCATGAGAACTGGGTGTCCTGGAAGCCAAGTAAGGAAATTATTTTAGGAACAGAGTAATTAGCTGTGTCAGATGTTGCTGACAGGGGTTGTAAGCTGAGCACTGAGAACCGATTGTTTTTGGCAACAAAGAGGTTAGTGATGACCCCAATCATAACAAATTCAGAAGAGTGGTGGTGGTAAAACTTGATTGGAGTATGTCCAAGAGATGAAAAGTGGAGAAGAAAACACAGCTAGTACAGGCATGTTTTCAAGGAATTCTGCTATGGAGGGGAAAAGGAAATACAGTGGTAACTGGAGAGGGATGTGGGCTGAAGAGAAAGTTTTCTTAAAGACAAAGGTATTTTACAGTTTGTGTGCTGATGGGAATGATCTAGAAAAGAGGAATGGCACAGGAAAGAGAGGTGATAAAAAGTTCTTGAGTAAGTTAGCTGGAGGGTTTTGTCCTTACCAAGATCATTTATTCTAATAGGAGGGAAGGAAGGGTGCATAGTAGTGCGGTGGGAGGAAGAAAAGGCTTTCTTCTGGTCGGGAGGGCTTCTGGAGCTTTGGGGAGAGACTAAAAGGTGTGTAGTAGCCGTCTTGGAGAGTGGGAGAGGGGAGTGACCAGCACCCTGAGTGGCTCATTAAATGCACTGTAACATTATTTTTTTGGATATATGCTATTTTAGTAGCTTTAGTGAAGTTGCTGTATTCTTTCAGTAATACAAACTATCATTTACCCCTTCTAGGATGAATTGTTAATAAGCTGAAACTTGACACTGATCAGATAAGGACTTTTAAATTATATACTTTTGTCTGAATGAACTCACTATGGCACATAAACTCATTCAACAGATATCTACTTAGTGTTCTGCCATGTGTCACACACAGTGCTGCTGTCGAGGAGGGTGTAGCAAAGCTGGTATCAGAGGTAGATTGAAAAACGTGGTATGCCCTGGATTTATGTTTGCAAAGTCAATGACTCTGGCTTTGATTAATGAAGATAAGGACCTTTTATTAGAATTGGAACCCTGAATTTCCACAAGTCTATGTAATTTTTGAGTGTAAGTAAATTGCTAATTAAAACAAAATGGAGTCCAGAAATAGATTAAAGTGTTTATATTTATACAGGATAAATGTGGCATTTCAAATCATTGGAGAAAAGATGATTTTTCCACTAAATGGTACTGAGACAACTGACTATTTGTAAGAAAATTAAGTTGGAACCTTATCTTTCATCATATACAAAACCCAATTCCATATAGATTACAGTTTTATGTAATCTATATTAAAAAGAAAATATTAATGAGTTAAAAGAAAATGTAGAAGAATATGTCCATAATCATCTTAGAATAGGGAAATAACTTATTAAGAAATACCTGAAACCTAGAAGGCTTAAAGGAAAAGATTGACAGATTTGATTATATAAATCTTATGAATGCCAAAAGACATTTTAAACCAACTTAAAAGGCAGAAGTAGTGAGGGGAATTGGGTAGGGGATGGGGAGGTTGAGGAATTTTTATTTGTATTTGTAGCAAACAAAAAGTAACACTAGTAAACCAATACCTACTACAAATCTATCAGAAAAGACAAACTACCCTATAAATATTAATAAAGTAGCAACACATATAAAAAGGCCATGAAAAGACAATTTATGGATCTTCAAATAGCCAATTAAAATATAAATATATCCTTGACTTCACTAATGATGAAGAAAAAGTGAAAACCATCATATTGGTAAAAATTAATAAGACAGATAATCTCCAGTGATGGAAATAATATGGATAAAAGGGCCTTTACTATATCATTAGAGAGAGAACACATTGGTACAACTCTTTAGAAAGGTGATTTGCAGTATCTGTTAAAATTACAAATGTTTGTAACCTTACAACTCAGCAAAACCACTTCTAGCATCTTATCCTACAGAATAATAGCCTGATTGTATTAAGATTTATGTACATGAGCATTCATTGCAGTAGTAGTTATAGAAGCAAAACATTTGAAGCAGCCTAATTGTCTACTCAATAGATTTATGGTTAAATAAATTTTTGCACAACCATACAATTCAGTTGCATTCAGTAGAATACATTCTGCAATCATAGATCTTAACCTGAGATAAAACAAGACTATGACTCTTGACATACGAAGCAAACGTGCATTAGTAAAGTCAACCAGACTTCACTAATTATGAGCAAAGGACATAAGTAAGAAACAGTCACCAAGTGCAGGATCTCTGGGAGGCCATGAGTCTATTGGCTCTGTGGGGTCCCTTTCCATATACTCCGAGACATTCTGGGTTCATAATGACAAGTTCCTCTGAAAGGCACAGAGGAAGCCTTTCAGATTTGGGTGGTTTTCATTTTTATTCTCCATTAGTCACACAGGCTATCTATGAGCATTGTCCCATAGAACTTTCATAAACATTTCTTACATTGATTCAATTCTACTCTCTTTTATTTTAAATCTAGATTCAACGGCAAGCTATCTTCTTTCTGTACCCGCCTGTCTTTACTAGTGACATGTGTTTATTTGAATAACAACAACAAATTAAGACAGTGCTATTCTGTTTTTTACATGTGATATGAGAAGGCCTAATAAACATTGTATGGGATGATTGAGTGATGTGCGTGAATACTAATAATATTTGTGAATTGGAAGAAACGATTTTATATGTTTTAGGGTTGCTATGCTCAATTGAGTTTCTAAATTTAACGTAAAAATAAATGCTTGTTTATAAATTCACTAGCAAGCTTGTATGCCAGTATATCTTCTCCCATACTGATTTACTCTAAGAATATTTGGAGTTATCTTTGTGTAATCTTTTCTTCCAGTTCTCAGATGTGCAACCACCTTAACATACTGTTATGGTTGAGTGAGTGGGAGAACTAACATGAGGGGCAGGATCTTTATTGCAACTTCTATACTCTGTTACCCTTTCTTTAAGCCCCTTCTTTGCTTCTTCCTTTTGGCATAAATCAAAGGTACACATTTCCTTTATGCTTGTAGAAAGTAATGATATGTCCCATCTTCAGTAAAAGCTTGTTAAATCCCACAGTTTGCACTATCCAAGCAGTTACAGTCATTCTTCTACATAGGTAATTTAATAGACCGTTCTATTTTTGGCAGAAGAATTCACATATTGAATTTTGGCTCTCAAAGTACAAAAAAGGCTGATCTTAAGTAGAGCAAATTTGCTTTGCAAAGATGCCCAGTTTCATGGATCCCTGAAAGTAGCTGAGGAATGCTAGTCCCAAGCTGTGAACAGAAGTGGAAGCCTAGGATTTAAACATGTGCAACTTATTTGTAGCAATTTTTCTTGCTATCATCATGATTACTGTGGCTCCTTCTCTTTACTCAACAGTTTTGTTCTTTAAGAGGCTTTTCCCAAAACAGACTCAAATTTCTCAGATATATAGTGAAAGGTGAGGCACTTCTGGGAAAAGAAGCAGAGGACAGCTTTCAGCAGCATTCATTCTGTGATAACATTCTTCCTCTACTGTAGGGGGAACTTAAGAACTCTTACCCATGAGTAATTATTTTAATAGAAGAAACTCTAAAGCAAATTTTTGTAAAACTTTTCATTTTTATAAAATTAACCCTGCCAAAATCTGTAAGTT